TAAGCTATATGGACTTCAATTCCCAGAATTCTGGGAATTGAAGTCCATATAGCTTAGAGTTGCCAAGGTTGAGAAACACTGTCCTACAGTGATGCTTCCTATTTTAGAAGCACAACAGGCATGTGATCTAAAATAATGGGGTTTTTGGAGTCCTTGGGGTTCCCCGAGCTTGGTTCTTTTCTTGCAAATGTTTCATACAAACGTTTGCAGGAAAAGAACCAAGCTCAGAGAACCCCAAGGACTCCACAGTTCAACCCTGAATGTTTTTTCTGTTGTTGCTGCCCTCCTCCCCACTACAGTAGCTATAGCTAGCTATTCAGTGGTATTTATGCCTCAGATCCTGAGGAATTCCACTTCATTGTCACGATCAGTAGTTAACAGTTGAATATTCCATAATTTTTCCCTTCTCAACTCATGACTCTTGCCCCTTCTCCTAACAGTGGATTTTGTTTCTTTAGTAAGGCTTTGCATGAAGAATGTGTTGTTCTTTTTATGCCCCTATTTAAAACCTTGGAAATTACATTATTGTTTTGCTGAGCAGAGGGGATAAGAAAGGATACAGAGAATTGATCATTCTGCAGAATTAATGGTGACGAAGCATTAGATAGCCGGAAAGGGTTCTGTCCATTTAGAACAAGGCTGCGCCCCATTTTTAGGCCAAGAGCTGCATTTATTCTTGGGGTAATCTGGCCAAGGGTGCTCTGGAAAAAGTAGCTGGAGGGTTTCTCTGGGTCACAGCAAGACTTTTGAGGTTGTCCGGTTGTGCACTGCTGCTACAAAGATTCCAGCAAGACCTAGAGCTATCGTGAGTATTTGTACTGAATTATTTGCTTGTGAGTGCTCCTAACAGTTTTTTCCCCCCGTTTTCTTTCAGTCAGCTCAAAGTGTCAACAAAGCTCTGGAGCAGTTTGTCAAGCCCGAACAGCTGGATGGTGAAAATGCATATAAATGTAGCAAGTAAGAGGGAGAATTAATATGTTCTATAATTAATAGACTGATTGATCTCGGGTGTCTTGCATGGTTACAAAACCTGAGATTTAATGCCAAACAGGTTTTGCTGTGTTATAATTTATTTAGCCAGTCATGGTATGTATGTCTATCTTTTTTGCTCTGTGTTTGCTTCCTAAATGCACATGACATACTTTGAGGAAAATGAAAAGGCCACCTCCTCTTACATACCTCGGGCAAACTCTACGGCAGTGTTTTTCAAATTTGGCAACTTTAAGATGTGTGGACTTCAATTCCCAGGGTTGAAGCTGGGGAACTCTGGGAGTTGAAGTCCACACATCTTAAAGTTGCCAAGTTTGAAAAACACTGCCCTAGGGGAATATCAAAGGAGGTGAATCTAAGGGTGGAAGGAAGAGAAGAATGCATTGGCTGCTCTTTCATGTCTTTAAGCAAATCTAAATCTGTTTCAAACACCAATTCCCAAATAGAAAGTAGTTGCGTGAACTTCAGGAAATGGTCAATGTGAGGGGGAAAAAAAGTCTTCAATCTCTCTTATGTTTTAGGTGTAAAAAAATGGTTCCTGCATCCAAGCGGTTTACGATACATCGGGCTTCAAATGTCCTCACCTTGTCCCTCAAACGGTTTGCAAATTTCAGTGGCGGCAAAATCACAAAGGTAAATTCCATGATTCATGGTCATGGCGTAGCCCTATAGCAACATGAATGTTAAAGACTTGAATGTACACTACTCAGCATAGAATTAAGCCAGGTGAAGGTCTGTATAAATGAACAGTGCTTAGGAGGGGGTGGTGTTAGATGCTCAGGGTAACCAATTTGCGGCATTTCCACAAACATAATTGTGTGAACTGATGTTCTCTGTAGAGACAAGTATAAAAGCTTTAATTTTTATGAGGTGGTTTCTCTGTGTGTGTGTGTTTTTTAAACTAGATTCTGTATGCAAACTCAGAAGTACCTCTCTGTCTGTTTGGTTTAGGAGGTGAAATACCCAGAGTATTTAGATGTCCGACCGTATATGTCCCAACCAAATGGAGAACCAATAATTTATGCACTTTATGCAGTGCTAGTCCATACGGGCTTCAGCTGTCATGCTGGACATTACTACTGCTACATAAAGGTAAATGTGTTCTTGTGTTTCCCGTCTCACTGTTCTCAAACATGAAAGAAGTTGTGTCTGTTTTATAATAACTGGTTACAGTTTGAAATGGGTGAGTAGTACAGACAGAAAGCAGTACAGATTGTTATCACAGCGAAGTACGAATAATTGATTCCACTAACCCATAACTCTGAATACGCTGTTATGTGAAATACTAAACGTAAACCAGCATAAAATGTAAAGGCCTAACTCCCAAATCATATAGGGGTGATCCTTGTGCCCTGGAATACTTAGACGTCCAATATCTGCTGTATGTCATTTCAGGTTTGTTCGGTCTCATTTATTATTTTATCTTTTCTTTCCATCAAGGTGTTCAAAGCAGCATTTGTCCTTTTTTAATTACTATAATAGTTCTGTGGGTAGGCCAGGCAGAGAGTGTAGATAGCAGCATAATAAGCCACCCTGGGTTTTGCTAGGTGGTAGCTTTTCCAGATGTGCGATCTTATTATGATTTATAAATTAAGATTTATCGCGTAGAGTGTGAGCCAAGCCATGATTTAGTGCAGTGTATGAATACATTCAGTGATGGCCCAATGTGAGTTTGGCAAAGGGATTGAGATTTGAACCCAGGCATTTAATTCTTTAAGGCAGCGTTTCTCAGCCTTGGCCATTTTAAGATGTGTGGACTTCAACTCCCAGAATTCCCCAGTCAGGGAATTCTGGGAGTTGAAGTCCACACATTTTAAAGTGGCCAAGGTTGAGAAACGCTGCTTTAAGGTATTGCATGCTCTCAAGAAATTTGTGCTTGCTTTTAGATTCTAGTAAATGCTTATTCTAAAACTTAAAAGACTATCTTAGTCTCTTTTTCCTTCTGCAATCCTTTCCCTTCTCGTTCTGCTAAACAAAATATCTGATTGTTTAGTAACAAGAATGGCTCTGTGTATTTCATTTAGTCCCAGTAGAGGGCATAGTTTCTCCTCCCACCAGCTTTAAGGAAGGCCTTTTATTTTCCAATTAAAACTGAGCCATGCTCTTTCTGAAGAGCATACCGCAGCTGCTTTTTCCTAACTTTCTGTCGCTGTTTTCTGGAGCGTACACCGAAGTGTCTGCAATGGTAATGCATCTTTAAGGATGTATTGCTGTAGTTTCCTGCAGAAATGGTGGAGGGGTTGAAAACAGTGAAGCCAAAAACGCTGAAAAGCAACAGATACAAAGGTCAGTTCTGCAGGCTGGGCCTCCTTCCAGACCCAGCATTGACACCGGACAGCCCCGTCACATCTGTGGCCCAGAAAAGCTTTTATCCATTTTGGCTGATCACCAGTTGCATCCCTTTCTAGAAGAGGAACATCTGGTGGGATCCAATTCCAGTCAAAGCAGGGGCTCGGTCTCCCATCCACCAGTTTCGTTTTTTTAAAAAACACCTCTGATGTCTTGGTGGGAGCCAAAGGTATTCTTCAAAATAAAGGTGACGCAAGAGGTTGGGGTTTGGCTTTGCCTCACCTTGGAGAATTGATTTACTGAGAGCAATAATTTTTTGTTGTTCTTCTTTTTAGGCCAGTAACGGGCAGTGGTACCAGATGAATGACTCCACTGTTTCCAACAGTGACATCAGAACTGTATTAAATCAACAAGCCTATGTGCTTTTTTACATCAGGTAGTGTCAAGCGCTCAAAATTCGATTTTCTACCCTTGGCACAATGATCTGCCTTGCATTTTTGCCCCACTTCTGGTCTACTAACCATATTTGCGGATTTGGATCAGACAGCAAGTCCATCAGGACCAGCTGCTAGATCTGTGGGGGAACTGCAGTATTTCAGCAAGGGATTTTAATTACAACAAGCTCTTTTAAAAAAAAGTCAATATTAAAAAAAAAATCATGTCTCTCAAAACGGCCCACAGGCTGTGCCATCCAACTAAAAATCCAGGACGTGCACTAGGCAGCAGGAAGAGAAAAAGCAGAGGGAAGGAATACGTTCGCTAAGGCTAGAACCAAGCAGGGAGATAAAGCAGGCTTTTTTTGTCCATTTGGGCCAGGCCAGAAACTTGTCTGCAGGGGAGAAGACACGTGCAGCATCATCCCAGTGATCCCTATAGCCTGGCCGAAGGATGGGACCCCAGATTGATACTTTTCAGCCCTCCACCCTAGGGCAGCTTATCCCCAGGATTCTTTCTAGCAGAGTGTAATGGTCTGTGAGAATGTCCTGGAGAGATAGGAGGAGGGGGAGCAGCAGTCTAGGCAACACTCAGATAAGCGGCAGCTGAGCCCTCAGAAGGAATGGGGGTGTGGCAAGCGCCTCAGTAGGGACCCTCCCTAGTTTCTTGGCTGTAAATGCGGGGGGGGGGGGGAGATGTACTTTCAGACTTGCAAGATTCTGTTACTGTAACCTTACAATAAAGGTAGTGTTAGGACTCACGGTTGGTACTTCTTGTCTGGACTACCTCTAAGGGCTGACACAGAGAGAGGAAGGAAACTCTCAGCAGCTGCTCTTTCTCTAGCCGATATAAGCGGCCATGACCTCTTCTTTCTGGAGCCAAGAATCCAGCTGCCAGCCTTTCTTGGTCCCCCGATCTGTGAATGGGGTCAGAAGGATGACATGGGAATCCAACTGTTGTTTCTCAGACTCAAGTTTATAGTGACACTAAACCACCACTTAGGGGTTTTTTTGTGGGGGGGAGGAAATATGGTAGGATATAACTGTGATAAATAAGGATGCCAGCCTAAGAAAAGAATACCAGGTTGTTGGTGAAAGGAGAAGTGAACATGGATTAATGTGACTTTTTATTTATTAGGTCCCATGACATGAAAAATGGTGGCGAACACATTCATTCGGTTCATGCGCCAGGGCAGTCTTCTCCCCGACCTGTTATCAATCAACGGGTGGTCAGTAATAAACAAACTACTCCGGGGTTTATTGGACCTCAGCTCCCTCCACACATGGTTAAGGTAAGTTAAGGGGAATCAAAGAAGCTGTTTAGAGAGCCAGGATTTAATTTCTGAAATAAAGTTCTTATCACACCTCCTTTTATAATACATTGATAAGATAAGGGAAATAAATGTTGCGGCACTTTCAGAAGTTTGGTTCAGGAAGAAACCTGTCCATCAGGTGAAAATGTTCAATGTAGCATTAATATTTTCATATTTAATGGAGCAACTCAAGCTTTCTCCCAACTTTCTTTATGCTGCTTTGATTCTGAATTGGCTTGCACGTGTATGTCCTCAGTCTTCCTTCTGAATGTTAAAGGAAGATTGTACTTGTGGAACAAGAGCAGAGAGGAATGATTGAGGCTTCTTCAAATGTAGCTGAGCTATGAGAGTTCCATTGACCATCCTGGAGCAACTGTTTCCCTCTGTAAGAGCCACATACTTCCAATCGGATTCTCCTAGGATGCTCTACCATAAGTAAAGCTGTAACTACAGCAACTGCAACTGTACTATAAGTAAAGTTCTGTGATTGTTGTGTTAGAAAGACAGATCCTCTAAGGCAAATATAATTACAGATATCTAATAGGCTGAAATAAAGCTCTAGTGTTTGTCTGCTTCTAGAGGAAGATTTGTGGTTTCTTTTCCTGAAATCCTTAAATTGCAGCAGCTCAGTTCAAACTTTGTGGCAAGCCATGAAGTTTGGACTCAGTGTCACCACAGTAGAACCCAAATGATGATTTGAACATCTAGGTGCACTCACTGTTTGTATTGCTGGCGTTTCCATTCTCTTAGCCTCAGATTCTTGACCCGCCACAGGACAGGGCCTGTGTACTGGGCCTTGTACAGCTGTAGCTTCATCGACAGTTGGCCAATTCAGTCATTGTGCTGAATGGCGTGACAGTTCAGACACCACATCAAACCATGGTTGAGGAAATACAACTTTGGCTCTATTTCTGACATGAGGAAATACTAATATGGGAGGAAGGGTTGAGGAACTGACGTCTGGGATCTCTTATTTTCTGTTTGTTTGTTTGTTTTTCCCCTTTTGTATAATTACAGAATTCAAATCATTTGAATGGAACTGGATCCTTGAAGGAAACTCCCAGCAGTACTGTGGCAATTGCTAGCAATGCTTCCCTAGTCAAATCTCCTTCCGCACCTCCTGCCATGTCCATCTCAAATTGGACCATGAACAGGTCAACTGCTGCTGCCACCCCAGATCCTTCCAAGAAGCCAAAACTCACCCTCAGTATTCACAATAACAAGCTGCCTGCTCGCCAAAGCGTGTCTCATGCCAGCTGTACCTTGGACAACCTCAACAAGCCTGCCCCATCCTCCACCATTTCTAACCCTTCTGCAGTGCAATCTACCTCAAGCACGTCCACCGTATCGGCTGCTAACCAAGTCTCCAAACCAACCACCCCTAGCGAACCTTGTTCCAAGCTGATAATGAACGGCAAGTCCAAACGCAGTCCTAGTACATTGGTCCCTTATGGAGCAGAATCTTCTGAAGACTCTGATGAGGAATCCAAAGGCCTGCTGAAGGAGAATGGCCACGCCAAAGTGTTCAACGGCATTTTATTAGAAAACGCAGCTGGTGGGCTGGAGAACTCTTGCTTGTCCTGTCACAACCCTGAAAAGGAGGGGCCCCAGCACGAGTTGCCCCAAAACATTACCGTGGTGGTCTCAATTAGCCTCAACGATGCCCCTAAGCAGAATGGACAGTTATGCAATGATTCCACCTGCCAGGTGAAGCCAGTGAAATTGGCAGACAACCCGTTTTCCAAAACCAATGGATTGCCTGGAAAAGTGAGTGTATTTCTGTGGTTTGGAATAGTTATGATTCTGGTTCTCAGCAAGCCTTAAGTTGCAAATCTGTGATCCCAGAAGATTGTCTCGGAGCCTCATGAGGCAACCGTCTTGCTGGGATTAATGAGGTCTGAGACTGAATGAGCAGTGGGCTGAAGTCCCTATGCCTTCAGTTACTGTGAAGCTAGAAATGACCCAGAGCCATCTTCAGGAAGACAGGTGTTTCTTCCTCGAGTCTCTAGTCCAGTGTTTCTCAACCTTGGGAACTTTAAGATGTGTGGACTTCAACTCCCAGAATTCCCCATGCTGACTGGGAGTTGAAGTCCACCCATCTTAAAGTTCCCAAGGTTGAGAAACACTGCTCTAGTCAGTTGTTCCCTCCCCTTTCCTTTTGTTAGTTACCCATAGTTTAGTATTTCCTATGCAGTCTTGGAATATTAATACTGGTCAGGTCCCCTCTTAACCAGGATTGGAGACCTTTTTTAGATTCAAGCTGAGATAGGGCCACAGTTGAATACTAATGCTGAGTAGGAAAAGACAGGTGCTTAATGCAACAATTCTGGGAGCTGTTCGTGTTGGAAAGCGAGTGAGCATTCTTGAGGCTGCTCTGTAGCTGGCAATCTCTGCACTAACAGCCCACCTTCTTTGGGGCCACACGTGTCACAACTGTCACCGCCAAATGAAATTGAATGTGCTGGATTCACGCGTCCTGCAAAGCTGTGATGTGGTTTGTTTTGGTTTGGGCAGAATGTGTTGTGCACACTCAGCCACAGTTAACCATAGTTAAACCAGGGCTAAGCGCAGAAGTTGACAAACTGTGGCCCTCCAGCATGGCCAACGGTGAGGGATGCTGGAACCTGCAGTTCATCATCTGGTGCGCCACAGATTGCCCCCCCCCCCGGCTTGGCTTGTGGCGTGAACCGTGCCACGGCCTGGCACAGAACAGGACAGCCTATGAATTGCAGGTTCTCAGACGAATATCTGGGCCTGGAAAATGCTCCAGTTGCGTGATGGAGATGGGGGGTCGGAATAGATACTCCCTTTTGAGCTCCTTCTATGATGTATCGACCCACCCCTCCTGATGGGGGAGCAGGCGTAGTTAATGAAATAAGCCACTGTAGGCAGAGTTGCTTGATTTGCATAATTTATTCATGTCACAGAATCCGGCTCTTCTGGGCGCAGAACTTGACTTCTTTTGCATGACGTATGCCCAGCCATGCTCTGCCCTTATTCAGGGAGCATTCAGACAGCTCGGGTGAAGTTTGGAGGCAACACGCTAGCAGCCCTAGCATGCTTTGCAAGTTCAGAAAGGACCTGCGGGGCCTGTGACCTAAGGTTGCAGAATATTCTCACTCCCTTCCAGGTACGCTCCTGTTAGTCAGCTCTGCCCACCTCAGGGGCTTTTGCCAACCTGGCCTGCTGCCTGGGATGGTGGGAACTCCAGCCCAGGGATCTGGAGGGCACCAGATTGGGCAGGCTGGTATGCACAAGCTGATTCGTTGCTGGCCCATCCCCTGCAATGCGCCTTTCCCCTAGTCCCCAACATGCTGTGGCTGCCTGCTCAATTTTTGTTGGACTGTTTGGGGTGGGGGGAGTTACCACCTTAACGCTTCATAAAAATATTTTGTCCTTCACCTGATCTCCCTTTGCACCTCAGAAGTCTCCTCTGGGTTGACTGAGTTCAAGCCACCTGAACTTGTGGGTCCTTTCCTAAGTCAAAAGTTGATTGTAATTCCTTCTCTTATGACACAGTCAGCTCGGTGGAATGGCCATCCTCATGGATGGTTCTGTACTTTTCCAAACTGAGAAACTTAAACAAGTTACTTCTAGCCCAGTTTCTCCAACTCTTTTTTGAACAAGTTCCAGATAGGGACAAGAACACGAAGCTCATTTAAACAGGAAAAATGACTTTATTTAAAGTCAAAGTCTTTTAGGCTGGTATGTTTCTTAGAGCAATCCAAATGCATCACCCCAAAAAGGACATAAGTGTTTTTCTTATGGTGAACACAGTTATTCCCATTATGGTGTAATGGTGGCTAGAACAGTCTTTCCAAGCAGTTGCCCTTGAATTATGCTAGATTGCAAGTTCCAGGGTTTTACACCATTAGAACCAGCAGGGCTGGGAGTTGTGGCCCACTTACTTCCTTTGAAAGGCCCTGAGTTGGGTCAAGGCCAGAGGAAGAAGCTTGGGTGGGGAGGGGTGGGGGGGTTGCTGGGGTCCAGGCTTTGTATGGCCATGAAGCTCATGTCATCTTGGCTTCATCACTGACGCTTTTGCCAAACTGCCACACAAAGGAACGTCCTTGGGGTTGCCGTCTTGAACTCTTTACAGAAAAGGTGGCTTATAAATCAGCCTCACATACTCAGTGGCATAGGAAGACAAGATGTAAATCCAATAAGCCAATGAAAGGAGAAAAATAATACAAGTTCCGCTCCTTTGTAAATTAATTGCTGGCTAAAAGGAGAGGTAAGGTTATAGGGTGGGGAAAGGAAAGGGAGTAAGATTGATAGAAGTAACAGGAAGAACGAAACTGCAAACTCTGGGAATAGCAGTCGGCGCAAGATGGAGAGCTTCTTTTCTCACATTGTTTAAGCACCCAGAGCTTCAGCAAAGTAATAAAAATACCCTTGTACGCTAGGAGGGTAAGGGGAAAAATACTGTCTGTATTCATAGGTCTTCCTTCTTTAACTTCAGAGTAAGATTTGGTGCTTCTTAACTGGAGAGGAAAGGCCAGAGCATAGTGCTTAAAGCTAGCTTCCCGTGCAGGCAGCCTCAGGGTTGATCCCTAACTTTCCAAGAAGATGACCACTGAATTGCTCTAGATCAGGCGGGGACCCCTGGTCCTATTCTTCTTCCAGGTGATGGTTGTACTCTTCTTGGGAGCAAGTCAGGTGTGCATATTTTACTGCTACATGGGAGTGGGGTCTTGGGTTTCATACTGGAGTCTAGACCAGCTGATCCCATTGCTCAGTCCTGTCATTTTGTTAACCTTGTCCGTTCTGAATCTACAGGGTTCTCCAGCAGCTTTGTCCCCAGTCCCTGAAGAGAGGGTCCTAGACGCCTTCAGATATAAGCAACCGAAGATCTTGCCCGGGGAATCCAGGTAAAATGGTCTTCCTTGATTCTGACTGTTTTGAATTTTAAAAGGCAGATGATTAGCTCTCTTTAAAAGAAACACATCACGTCTTTAAAACCAGGTGATTTCAGTAATCTAGATAGCCAGTAGTATAGCATTGTAGTTTTGGTGCTGGCCTGGTACTGGGAAGATCCAGGATTGAGTCCCCACTTGATCACAGGGTCTATAGAGCTACCCATCTCTCAGACCAACCTACCTCACAAGGTTGTTGTAGAGGTAAAATTAGAGGAGACTCCCAAATATACCACCTTGAGTTCTCAGAAGAAAGCGGTGCTAAAAATTCAAAAGAATAAATACATTGGTGCTTGGAACACATCTAGACTTAATACACTTCTTAGCTAGATATTCAGGTGACGTAGATGCCCACATCATTCTGTTTTATTTTCTTTCTATTTTTTATTATATTTTCCATGTTTCCCCCTTTGGGCACATGAATTTATATTTTGTGTACGCATAAGTAGCTACGCTCCAGTTAAACAAACTGAATTGATTTAATAGACACGTTTTATTGCTTTCAGTGGCATCAGGGTGACTATGATTTATCCGATTTTGTAAAAAGGGGAAAGTTGACTTGTCTTCTGTTGGTGTGAGCATACATGTGGCACCTTTAGAAGACACGCTGTCTGCTTTTCAAGGTCGATAACATGTATTTTCTAGGATAATGCCTGGTCTTCGCAGATTTTATAAATTCTTTCATTAAATGGTTTATAGTTCTTTAAACTCAGAATTGCCGTCTTCATTGATTTAAAGTTTCAAGTCATCATCTTAACTGCTTGATGGTGTGTCCTGCTCCTGTGCTGGTAAATTCTTCCTGCCTACTTCAGGAACTGAGGGAATCGGGTGAAACAAGGGATCGGAGATAAGAAAGGGAAGCAGATTCTGAGGCTGCATTTTTAAGCTGCCTTGCTTTGAAGAAAAGGATCTCCATGTCTCTGTGTTTGGGGCAGTTATCTTATGAGATGAGGAAGACAAACTACTTTTGGCAAGATAACCTTTTTATGGGCCTCACAAAATCTGTATTGTCAAATGCCGAGAGTGGTCCCCAGTTTTTTTTCCCCCTTTAAAAAAAAGTTCCCCAGAAGTTAAAAGTTCCTAGAACATTTAAGAAATGCTCATGTTGAAATCCTTCTCGCATCTTTCTCTTTCTGACCAGCAGTGCTCCTGAACCAGAACAATCGTTGGCCGAGGGTGCTTCTGAAAAGGCCCCCAATGCCCTTCCCAATAGCATCCCAGCCCCCTTGCCACCTTTGGAGCCCGACGTCACTTCGACCACGGAGGATCCTTGTGAAAGGACCGCCCAGACGGAAGACAGGCCGCTCGAGAGTGACAGGCAGCACGATCCTCAGTCCGGTTCCCCAGGAGCAGAGGAAACAGCTTTCCCTGGACAAGCGGATGGGGAAGCCCATCCTGAAAGGGCAGGAACATCAAAAGAAGAGAAGGCAGCTTTCGAAAAGGGCCCTGAGCTTGCCGAAGGAAAGGTGGGGCCCACGGAAAAAGATGGGCAGAGTCCCCGGATAAGGTCGGACGGTGAATGTAGGCCTCAGAAGCTAAAGGCCCTGCTAAATGCAGGCGAGAAAGGTCACGAAATGCAGGACAACCCCCAGAGCAGTGAGGATGCCCCGTGTGCTGAAAATTCCCCTGTTCCACAGCCCAAAATTGTCGCCGAGAGCCCGTGTTCAAAGGAGGAAGGCAAGCCGGCGGAGAGCAGCGAACCGGTCCGAAGAAGTGTCGAAAAGCCGGGGCTAAGGTCGCCCCCCAAGGAGAAAGCCCACACCTACAAGAAAACTGACCAAGAGCATTACCGTTCCAAAAGGAAGCGCTCCGAAAGCGAGGAAGAGGCGGCAGATGGGGCGGCCGGCCGGAGCCAGCCCGAGGGACATTACAGCAAGCAGAGGTGCGCTTACAGCAGAGAGCGGGCTAAGCAGCAGGACCAGCACCGACGGGAACACCACGGCACAAGCTACTACAGATTCCCGGGCAGCCCCGATCCTGCCAGGAGTTTGGGAAAATACCCTCCTTACCGATCCCGCAGCAGGGGGAAAACAGACTCTGAGCGGAGCAGGCACTGTTACGGGAAAGGAGAGAGATCGTGGAGTAGGGAGAGGTACTACCAGGAGACCCCAAGGAGGTGGGATGGATGTCGATCTTACAGTTACTATTACTCCACTTCCCACGTCCCCAGGCATAATCAGGAGAGGAAATTTGCTCATTCTGAGAGAGACTATAGCAAATCAAGTCACGTTTACAGTAGCCCTTATAAGTACGATTATTATAAAAGCCGGTGGAGTCAAGACCAGGACCGGAAAAGACGCTCCCCAAACCCTGAGGCGAGCGAGTGCATCCTCGAAAAGAGACACCCCAAAATCTTGCAAAGCAGTTCTCTCAGCGAACAAAGGGGGAGGAAACGCAAGAAGTCCAAGAAGAAGAAAAAGTTAAAAGATAAACACAAAGAGAGAGATTACAGGTGAGCGGAGGAGGGCGGGAGGCTGGCGACGTAATGGGAGTGGGTCACATATCTTTCGTTTTATTAACCTATACCAGAGTCACCAACCCTGTCCTCTCACAGGAGCCGAGATGTCCCACTCTGCCCCCCAAAGGTGGCTGAAAGATTTCAGGAACTTTAATTTTTTTTAAATTATTTTTATTTCGTTTGGAAAGGTCTGGCTGATGTGCTGTGGCCTACCTCTGAATTAACACTTACTTTTCAACAGAATCCTCCAGGAAGTGGATATAGCTTCATGACATCGGTGTATTAATATTATGGGAGAATTGTGGTTGAAATGTATGAACTATGGATTAATAGGGTGGGCTTTAAGCACTTTCCTTTCTTTTAGCCCTAGTTCCTTATCTGTAAAATGGGTCGCACAGCAGTCTTCACTCCCCTCTTTTTGGAATGGCTGAATGAATGAATGAATGAATGAATGAATGAATGAATGAATGAATGAATGAATGGAAGCCACAGAAAACTTCTCTTCATTCAAGGCACGAGGACAGCCGATAGGTCCTGTGTCTACCTATTGCATCGGCCTCTTCACTGAGTAAACTGCATAGTAATTTAAAACGTACCTTTTTCTTGCAGTTCAACAGAAAAAACAAAAAATCCCCAATGCCTTGCAGGGATGAATAATAAGATGATAATCCCATCAAATTTGCAGACTTAAAGGCGCGATGCAAAGGCAAAGCCCCTGGGAAGGATGCAGGAACAAAGAAAGATGAGATCCCGATTGGGTCCCTTTCTGCTTCAACAGGCAGATAGATGGTCTCTCTGGGCAGATCCAAAGTTTGTTTGTTTGATTGTTTAAATTCGTTGTGGCTGCCCAACAGCAAGGGACAGTTAGCAGCAGGAGGAATCCCTTCTCCCTGAAAGCATCAGTGCTCATAAACGTGTGCATAGGAAAAGGTTAGGAAAAAGTTAAGGGAGCCCTCCTTAAAGGGGCAGTGGCTGCTTGGATCACAGTGGCCATGTGGCTTTTCCCACCTACTTCTTTTTGCTTCCCTTCAGGCATCGCCATGATTCCGACCCCTCTCCCTCCAGCTCTGAGGCCGAGACCCACAAACATAAACATAAGAAGAAGAAGAAAAAGAAGAAGAAACATACCAAGAAATCAGAAGACTGCAACGGAAGCTCAACACCCCTCCTTCCCAAGCCAACTGCCTTGGAAATCAAGAATTTCAAAACCTGGGAGGTGCCCAGATCTTCTTCAGAGGCTTGTAGAAAACACAGCCCAACTTCCCGCAATGAAACCACGGCTGTTTGCCAGAAAGCAAAGGGCCTTGAAAGGAGCAACAGGGATGGCTTCTGTCCACTGAGAGATCATAAGATTGGTAAGTAAGGGAGGCTGGGAGGAAGATGATCATTGGGGTGACTCAGTCCTTGCCCTCCTGTCATTCTTTGAGGTTCTTAGAATCATAGAGTTGAAAAGGACCACATGGATCGCCTATTCCAGGGTTTCTCAGACTTGGCAACTTTCAGATGGGTGGACTTCAACTCCCAGAGTTCCCCAGCCAGCATTTGTTGCTTAGTTGCAACACTGCAACAGTGAGAAACACTGATCTAGTCCAACCCTCTGGGCAGGAAAATTAATGAAAGTATTCACAAGAGGTAAAACCTCC